AAGGCTTCATGGGGTTGCGAGACACAAATTTTGGGCAGTTCATGGAGTGTACCATCAAGATCATTCCGCACTACTTGATATCTCTGACGCCATACCGGAGAATTCCATTCAGAGCAAGAGAATTGAGATTCCAATCTCAATATTCAATGAAACTTACGTATGGACAGTTAGAATTGTACCCCTAGATGTGATCAGATCAGGATGGACTTAGGAAGTATCGAATTTCAGGTTCAAACATTTTTTTGAAAATACTAGAGGGTTAGATTATTGTATCTTAAGGCTCTATTTCAGACAGCAGGAAAAACAGCAAAGGAGACCTAACTACTTAGGTTAAGTTCACAAAATGTTGAAATTTTTAATTTTTCCAATCGTTCACAAATCTCAAAGAGAATCAGAATCAACCAATGGTACTAAAATGTACATTAAAAAAGTGAACGTGGCGTATAGATTTCTGTTCTCTCAAAACACCACAGATCCACTTCCAATCTCGCATATACGAAGGTGGAAGTCTTGGGAACAAGTGCCGACACTTTCAGGAAGAATCGGATCGCGTAGGATCGCGGGATGGAAGAATTGAAGCAAGAACACACGGTGCTGGAGCGTGTAGGAGCCGAGTACTTCGGGTCTGGTCACCTCAAAAGTTATCAGATCCACTTCCATTCTCGCACATACGAAGTTGGAAGTCTTGGGAACAAGGTCCAACACTTTCGGGAAGAATCGGATCGCGCAGGATCGCGGGATGGAAGAACTGAAGCAAGAACACACGGTGCTGGAGAGGATCCCAGCCGAGTATGTCGGGTCTGGTTCCCTCAAAAGTCAACAGATCTACTTCCAATCTTGCATATACTAAGTTGGATGTCTTGGGAACAAGTTCCGATACTTTCGGGAAGAATCGGATCGCGCAGGATCGCGGGATGGAAGAACTGAAGCAAGAACACACGGTGCTGGAGAGGATCCCAGCCGAGTATGTCGGGTCTGGTTCCCTCAAAAGTCAACAGATCTACTTCCAATCTTGCATATACTAAGTTGGATGTCTTGGGAACAAGTTCCGATACTTTCGGGAAGAATCGGATCGCGCAGGATCGCGGGATGGAAGAACTGAAGCAAGAACACACGGTGCTGGAGAGGATCCCAGCCGAGTATGTCGGGTCTGGTTCCCTCAAAAGTCAACAGATCTACTTCCAATCTTGCATATACTAAGTTGGATGTCTTGGGAACAAGTTCCGATACTTTCGGGAAGAATCGGATCGCGCAGGATCGCGGGATGGAAGAACTGAAGCAAGAACACACGGTGCTGGAGAGGATCCCAGCCGAGTATGTCGGGTCTGGTTCCCTCAAAAGTCAACAGATCTACTTCCAATCTTGCATATACTAAGTTGGATGTCTTGGGAACAAGTTCCGATACTTTCGGGAAGAATCGGATCGCGCAGGATCGCGGGATGGAAGAACTGAAGCAAGAACACACGGTGCTGGAGAGGATCCCAGCCGAGTATGTCGGGTCTGGTTCCCTCAAAAGTCAACAGATCTACTTCCAATCTTGCATATACTAAGTTGGATGTCTTGGGAACAAGTTCCGATACTTTCGGGAAGAATCGGATCGCGCAGGATCGCGGGATGGAAGAACTGAAGCAAGAACACACGGTGCTGGAGAGGATCCCAGCCGAGTATGTCGGGTCTGGTTCCCTCAAAAGTCAACAGATCTACTTCCAATCTTGCATATACTAAGTTGGATGTCTTGGGAACAAGTTCCGATACTTTCGGGAAGAATCGGATCGCGCAGGATCGCGGGATGGAAGAACTGAAGCAAGAACACACGGTGCTGGAGAGGATCCCAGCCGAGTATGTCGGGTCTGGTTCCCTCAAAAGTCAACAGATCTACTTCCAATCTTGCATATACTAAGTTGGATGTCTTGGGAACAAGTTCCGATACTTTCGGGAAGAATCGGATCGCGCAGGATCGCGGGATGGAAGAATTGAGGTAAGAACACACGGTGCTGGAGAGGATACCAGCCGAGTACATCGTGTCTGGTTCCCTCAAAAGTCAACAGATCTACTTCCAATCTTGCATATACTAAGTTGGATGTCTTGGGAACAAGTTCCGACAGTTTCGGGAAGAATCGGATCGCGTAGGATCGCGGGAGGGAAGAATTGAAGCAAGAACGCACGGTGCTGGAGAGGGTACGAGCCGAGTACTTCGGGTCTGGAGGAACAAGTTCCGACACTTTCGGGAAGAATCGGATCGCGTAGGATCGCGGGATGGAAGAATTGAGGCAAGAACACACGGTGCTGGAGAGGATACCAGCCGAGTATTTCGGGTCTGGTTCCCTCAAAAGTTATCAGATCCACTTCCATTCTCGCACATACGAAGTTGGAAGTCTTGGGAACAAGTTCCGACACTTTCGGGAAGAATCGGATCGCGTAGGATCGCGGGATGGAAGAATTGAGGCAAGAACACACGGTGCTGGAGAGGATACCAGCCGAGTATTTCGGGTCTGGTTCCCTCAAAAGTTATCAGATCCACTTCCATTCTCGCACATACGAAGTTGGAAGTCTTGGGAACAAGTTCCGACACTTTCGGGAAGAATCGGATCGCGTAGGATCGCGGGATGGAAGAATTGAGGCAAGAACACACGGTGCTGGAGAGGATACCAGCCGAGTATTTCGGGTCTGGTTCCCTCAAAAGTTATCAGATCCACTTCCATTCTCGCACATACGAAGTTGGAAGTCTTGGGAACAAGTTCCGACACTTTCGGGAAGAATCGGATCGCGTAGGATCGCGGGATGGAAGAATTGAGGCAAGAACACACGGTGCTGGAGAGGATACCAGCCGAGTATTTCGGGTCTGGTTCCCTCAAAAGTTATCAGATCCACTTCCATTCTCGCACATACGAAGTTGGAAGTCTTGGGAACAAGTTCCGACACTTTCGGGAAGAATCGGATCGCGTAGGATCGCGGGATGGAAGAATTGAGGCAAGAACACACGGTGCTGGAGAGGATACCAGCCGAGTATTTCGGGTCTGGTTCCCTCAAAAGTTATCAGATCCACTTCCATTCTCGCACATACGAAGTTGGAAGTCTTGGGAACAAGTTCCGACACTTTCGGGAAGAATCGGATCGCGTAGGATCGCGGGATGGAAGAATTGAGGCAAGAACACACGGTGCTGGAGAGGATACCAGCCGAGTATTTCGGGTCTGGTTCCCTCAAAAGTTATCAGATCCACTTCCATTCTCGCACATACGAAGTTGGAAGTCTTGGGAACAAGTTCCGACACTTTCGGGAAGAATCGGATTGCGTAGGATCGCGGGAGGGAAGAATTGAAGCAAGAACACACGGTACTGGAGAGGGTACGAGCCGAGTACTTCGGGTCTGGTTCCCTCGAAAATTATCAGATCCGCTTCCAGTCTCGCATATACGAAGCTGGAGGTCTTGGGAACAAATTCCGCCACTTTCGGGCCGAATCGGATCGCGTACTACCGCGGGAGGAACGATGAAGTGTAAAAGTAGCAAAAATCACGGTGCTAGAAATATGACGGTGCTAGAAAGTGATTTAGATTTAATGGCGTTCAGTCCGTGGAACACCCATTCTTTTTTTTTTAAAGTGTAA